TTGTTCCTAATCTGTTCATGTGATGTTTTTGCCATCATCTCTCATCTCTTACCAACATCCTTAGAGAAAGTCCTGTCTAACTAGAGGGAGCAACCTCCAAAACATCATTAGACTTATTCCCTCTTCTCAGCAGAGCTATTACAAGCCTGCTTTTTGTCAGCAGTTCTCTAAGACTTGCAGCACAATTTGTGGACCAACTCATCTATGCTGTCATACTCTTATTTGGGAAGAGCCACATGACTTTCTTTTATGTTGCTTCATATGCAGTCATGTTATAGGTGAGCTAAACAGACTGGTTCAGAAATTAAAGAGTGAGCTTATGGTGAGGACTTCAGCCCAAGTCTGATTTTCCTTTTAACAAAACGTTCGCTGTTATTCTCCCATCCTGAATGTGTAAGCCATATTTTCAACTTTCAGAACAGCGAGCTGGCACCTCTGGAAGTAGCAGGTGTCTTTCTCATCCATTTATTTGTGTTTAGGATCAATAACACACCCATGTGTCCTGTTTGGCAGCATTATGTAATGTGCTGTAGGATCTTCTCCATTACACCACCGAGCCAGAAATGAAGATGGATGGTATTTAGATTCTTCAATGAAGCAAGAGATCAGTATCTGGCGCAGAGCTAAGAATTCAGCCCTTATCCTTATCTTGATATTTCATAACGCAATGTAGTATAAAAATAGGAGTGAACACAAGTTACAGTTCAGTCAGACATCAGCCACTTGGATCATTAAAATAAGGTTAAAATGCAATGGTCTGTTTAGGTTTGAAAATGAGGAGACCTTAGACCTTAAATTCTGTTATCTATTTCCCTTGTATCCATTTGCCTTATATCCATTTCTCTAGTAAATCTATCCAGACTAGTGCATAAATCAGATTGTATTGGTGAGGAGAAATTAATTATTTTATAATACAGCAATCAGTTCAGAAAAGTCTAAGCAACAGCTGTGCTAAGAATGAATACTTTGCCATAATATCTTTTCATCACTGAAATTCTTCATCTTGTTTATATTTGTGAATATTTGTCTAGTAAATGGAACTCAGACAAGAACTATCAGTATATAAAATGACAAGATTCTTCTGACAAGGTGCTGCTGTATTAAAAATCATAGTGTATGTGGGAGGGAACCACATAACTTTTTTGTTATTTTTTTTTATATACTTCCACTTTTTGCACAGAGTTGCTCCTTGTTAATTTGAAAGGCAGCCACCATACATCATCTTTCTTAAGTGTTCCTTTGTGTTTGTGAATAGCAAAATAAAGTTCTGCTAATCGGTATGTTTTTGGCAGATTACACAAATGCCTGATCAGTAATATGGAAATACTCAGAACAGCAGAATATAGGGCAGAGTAATTTGGTATTGCCAAACCAGAAGTTCAAAAATCATGAGTCAGATCTCCTAAAGTTATAAGCCTCGTTTAAAATTATGAGCTTAAAAAACATAGATAGCTTTATTCACCTTCTGTCTTTTTAATCTTTAGCATATGTTTGGATTACACTTTTAGGATTTTCCATGTAATCTGCAGAGCTAATTTTTTAAAAAATAAGTAAAATAGCTGATTACACCATCTCACAACGAAAACCAACCTGCTTCAGATTGATTAGACTCAATAAAATCATGGAAGTTGTCAACACTGATTAAACAAATGCTTGATGTTTCAAGGAATAATTATTTTATAATTAAGTGGTTTTAAAGCACATCTATTTACATAGACTTCTGACAGTTGCGGAGGCATGATTAAAAGCTGGGGTTAGTGTCACTAGTGCTAACTAGATGAACTGGTGTGCTGTGCATTTTAGGCAGTCAGTTCTTTACTTTCCTAGAACTGCAGCCTCCTTTTCTTGCACTCAGTGCCAGCTCTACTGACAGTAATAAATAAGGGACTTTAAAGCAGATAGTTTGCAAGTAATAATAGAATCAGATCAGAAAAGGACCTTAGTAAGTCATTTAGTCTCATTTTGTGTCTAACTGAAATCTCCTTTCTTGCAATTTAAGGTAAACTTTTTTTCTATCAGTTGTGGGTATGAGAAGAAGTGAATTCTATTCCTTTATGTATATGAAAAACACCGTGTTTCCCCTCTATCATCTTTTCTGTAAGATGACCTAAAATCATTCAACCTGTGCTCAAAGGCAAAGTTTTCTCATCTTGTAGACATTCTCATTGCTTTCTCCTGGATTTTCTGCATGCAACTTGCATCTTATTCTTCAAATGCATGATCAAAACTGGAGGTGTTACTAGCTCATGCCTTAGAAGGTCTGAAGAAGCAGATTATACTCCAGTTTTTTGTAGTTTTCAGGTTTTTACCCTTATTTGCAACAGCATGATGTTGCAGACTTACTTGCAGGATCTGATCCAAAATAACACATTTATTCTGTTCAATGGAAATTGAAAGGGTAGTTTTAGATGAAATATTGGGAAGTTCTTGCCTGTGAGGGTGGTGAGACACTGGCACAGGGTGCCCAGAGAAGCTGTGGATGCCCCATCCCTGGAAGTGTTCAAGGCCAGGGTGGACGGGGCTTGGAGCAACCTAGTCTAGTGGAAGGTGTCCCTGCCCGTGGCAGGGAGGTTAGAACTACATGATCTTTAAGGTCCCTTCCAACCCAAACCATTATATGATTCTATGAAATTAAGCAACTGTTCCTTTACTTGCACAGCTAATGATTCCAGCTTGCACTTGTTCCCATTAAGTAACATTCTTACGTTTTGAGATCACGTTTGCAGCTTGCCAGGATTATTCTGAATTCTGGTCTTACCTTCTAGTATACTTGAAGTCGAACTGCTTAGTCTTGTTTGAAGATATTAAAAGCATACTCTGCATGGTCCAGGGGTGAATAAATGAAAACAGTTAATTTTGTCTAGAACTGGTGTGAATGGGGTTAAACAACATACTGTAATTATTGGCAATAACTGTAAATTACAGTTATTGTAAGTATTAAACAAGGGAAACAGCATACTGTAAACACAGGCAAAGACCAGTGCTTCAGACTCAGAGATCAATATGATTTGATTAATCGCTCAGATCTGCTTAAATGCTTAGTGTAAAGAATGTTTATAATAATTGATCTGTAGCAGTACTATAAATTTATTTTCTCATTCCTATGATTATTTGATTTTTACTCATCTCAGTTTTCCTTCTTGTCATTCTTAGCAGGTGAATGGGAAAAACACAGAAGCAGATAAAACAGGTGGTAACTGGAACTTCACCCTGTTGCCGGGACTGTTATTGATTCAGGTATCAGATGGAATTAAATGAAAATAATAAGCAGATTTGTAAGAACATTTTATTAAAGATACTGTATCAAAGCACAGAATAAGCTTTAAAGATGATGAAACTAGCCTGGAATGTCTTCAGCGATGCTCTACATAGCCTACAAATAATTGCTAAGTTACAGAACAGTCACAGCCTATTCTATATGTCCCACACTTAGTATACTGTTGAAGCCTGTCTTTAGGTGATGCTATAATCATAATGCCCTTTTCTCCTCTGTTTCATGGTGGTCTTACTGTGAAGGTCCTTCCTGTTCTCTATGGCAAGGACACCCATTTTCTGTTAGATCTGCCAGCTATATTGTGCCTTCTCCCTGCAGAATCCCCAGGGCAATCTGGCTTTGCCCAGATAGTCACCACCTTCCCCTTTGCTCCAGCACAGCCACTGGGAAGAAGCATCAGCATTCCAGTATTGTACTGAAGGCTTTTAAAATGCCTACATTAATGTTCAAGGTGTTATGTGTTAATAGAGCCGATACTTCCAACATCTATATGCTGAAGTATTTGGGGCTGTGTAATTAGATTAAGCAACCACATTCAAATATACCTGAACATCTTTTCTTGCATTTGTATAGCAACTTTATCAACTCAAAAAGAGTAAAGCAAGCACAGACACATGCCCTATACAAGCTGCAATACAGACAGTATTTTACACACTTTGTAACAACAGTAATGAAAATTATGCCAATTATATATAAAATTATAGACAGACTCTTCTTGAGATAACAGTTATACTGAACAATGAAACATCCTTTTATAGTCATGAGTAGAATTAGTAAGTTGCGTAACTACAGCAGAATATAGATCAGCATGTTTAGTCTGCTTACATGTCTCAATCTGACCCACTGGTGTCTGGGGGAAACAAAATAAATGAGCACTTTTTTTTAATCCATGCTGGCCCTAAACTGAAACATTTACTGCCTTGGGTTTTTTTGTTAGGTTTTTTTATTTTTTTTCTTTTTCCCCCCATTAATTTAGCTGTAAACATCAGGATTCCTAAAATGCTTAAATCTGAACATGGATGCCTGATTCTCCTCTTCAAGCCAGGTTTTGCAAGGCTTAGATCCAGAACAAGGTGCACCCTATGCCCTGTGAAGATTATTTCACCTTTACTCATCTCCTTGTTGGTAAAAATTTTTCACCATTCTTGTAATAAACCAGAGCACCATTTCTTTACTATCCACATACAAGCACTGTGCTTCATGGAAGGTCCTCTTCAGCTTGCAAATGATGATCATGGCAGCAGGGGAATCAGGTCAGCTGGATCTTTCTCACCATCCTGTCCCTCCTCAGGGACCCTCTGTCCTCAGTTTTTAAGATTCACTTTTTTTTCACCTCATACTTTTTTTTCCATTTCTTTCTTTTTTTAACACGATAGTTTAGCATTGTACATGAGTATGTACTTCTAATGTTTGAACTAAAAAAATCTAAACAGTTTTTGACAGAAACTCTTAAGAAGCCTTATTTCAGAAAGGGAGCACTTCTGCACATGAATAGCAAATTCTGCAAACTCATTTCAGTGCAGCCCTTAACACCTGGCATCTGCCTCTTTTGGCTGTCTGCTCCATGAAAGGAGTCTTCAAATTTGTTTTTAACAGGTGTAAATAATAGTCACAAGGAAATAAGTTTTATCATACAGAGAGGAGTCCAACATAACTTTTACTGCAACTTCTAATTTGACTGGTTTGGTGCCTTTTGCGACTGCTGCAGTATGTCAAAAAAAGCAAAGGTGGTGCCAATTCAGATCTGGCACACGCAGTTCTGAGTTTTTATGAAATCTTTTGACGACCAGTTCTTCCTCATGTCTTCTTCAAACCTGGTTCTCTCAGTTGTTCAGAAGCTTAGAAGTCCCTATTTCACTACTGCCATGCAGAAAAGAAATGCAAGAAAAATATTAAAAGTCAGAAGCCCACACGCCAGTACTGTATTTGCTAGCATGATGTGGTCCCTCCCACCTCACTATGGTGTGGTTTTCCTCCAAATACCCATCCTTCAGTTCTGTTCAGAGCACCTACCACAATCAGGAACTCTGTTTAAAATCCATACAGTTCATTTCCTTCAACCCCTACCCTACCAAAACATATCATAACCTTCAACCATGTTTTGACCTTATTTCAGAAACTTTTGTTTGTTTCACTCTCCTTTGCCTTTCATTTGCAAAACAGCTAAAGATTTGCTGAAAAAAAACTTCAATTTACATTCCAGCAGTGGTTTATGACTTAGCTTAGTGAATGCTCAAAAAACTGCATGACTTTTATTTCCTCTCAGCCTGGACTTTTCACAGCTTGGAAAACCCCCCCCTCCTCACCCTGGAATACTTATTACTGCTTTGTATTTGCCTCTGTTTGGGGGGTTTTTGTTTGTTTTTTTCTTGCCTAACTCAGAGGTACCTGTTATATATTTACTTAACTCTTGTCACCAAATTCTTACTTTTTTGGTTAATTGCAGATAAATGATATAAACATCTACAATTCCCACAAGTCTCTTTTGACCAAACTAATTTATAACAAATACGAGCAGCTCTGTATCCAAAATGAACAGTCAAGAAATTGGAAACATATGGATGTAACTTTTAAAGATAATTCCCAGGGTTTTTTTTCCTTGGTGCACTGACTGCTTTCTCTGGATATGTAAATCATGTTGCACAAAGTATACAAACATCCTGCTTCTGGCTAATTTACGCTTGCTGTTTCTATGCACACTATGGCAGCCTTGGAAAAGCTTCAAGGCTGCACATGAATCCAGGTTTATCAACTGTCTGTGTTACTTACCTGCTAAAGCATCCTCAAGGCCAGCTCAGGGCTATATTTGCTGGCACACTTTTGAGAGGAAAGCCTTGGGAGTGGTGCCCCACACTTCAGCGTGCATTATAGCATACCCTGTGTGACATGTGGCCAGGCCCTCATAGCATATGCCAGGTCCACAGCTGACTGTATATTTTATTTGTCATTGGTGTCATGTCACATACTTGACGGTGGGCAAAAAAGCAACCTGGGACAAATTACTTTTGTTTCATGACAGGAAGGTGATGTGAACGTGCAGGTCTTGGGCAAACTACTAGCTTCAAAGTACTGCTGATTCTAGCAGTAAGTCCATGCGTCTACCTACTACTTTCTTCAAATCTCTGAGAATTCACTGGACTGATGCTGTTATCGCAAAGTAACTTTTACTTGACTAGCTCAAAGGTTAGGAAATACCTTTTTTTTGTTGTTTGTAAACAAAGAAAGGAGGGAAAAAAGGGAATTCTAACTACAGTATGCATATGAACATTATTTTTCCCCATGCAACATCAGTGTTTAACACTGGTGTTTATTAAGATGCCAGCCTGCATTTTACAGTCAAAGATCTCTGGTTTTTGTAGATCATACATAGCTCATGCGGCATGACTAAGCTTCTTTGCACCACCACCCTCAAATACACCGACTATGCTGTGTGGGACCACCTCTGAGTGTGGGAAGGTGGGTTGCCTATGAATATTAAATTTCATTTTTCCAATGAGTCTGCAAAAATACTGTTAATCAGTGCCAACTGTGGTGGTGTGGTGTACATACGGAACTGTGAACACTTGAGAACTGCTGGCACTGGTAATAGCTTTTAGCCCACAGTAAGCTAGACTAGAGGTAAAATGTTGTGCCCTCCTCCCAGACTCAAAAATCCTCTAGCTACCCTGAAAACAGAAGCTGTCTAAGGAATGCACAGCTGCAAAAGGATCTGCTTCACTCTTGACACAGTAAACTCTGCTCAACAGTGGAAACGTTTTGAGTTTTTTAAATACAAATATGCATGTTTCCAGTTAGCCACCAGATGGAGCTCATATCTCCCCATCACACAAATCATGAACATCTGCAAAGTTAAAGCTCTTCTGAGATGTTACAAAGGATGCAGTTTCTTCCACTTCATAAAAGTCAGAGGAAGTCTGTGATTAGCTGGATGTTTACAAATAAAAGGAGGATCTGGAGATAGATCAAAGATAACTCTCCAGATTTAGCATGATACCAGGTTCCTGTACTAATAGCATCTGCATCACTTTGACTGTTACATTATGTTTGATCCCATCATGTATTAATAATGTTTTTTTAATGCTTAGTGCATTTATTAGAAGTCTGAAGGTTCAGACAGCTGAAAAAAAACCATAAAAACAACACCCCACAGCTAACAAGATCACCCAGATTCCATTTAAGAGAAGCACCCACTTGATTCTTCCTCACTCTTTCTGCAACGTAAAGGGAATCAAGAGGCAAAGATAAGCACTGTTCCAAAAATATGAAGAATGTTATACTTCAAGCTTAGTAAACAGGAGCAGTAGCACTTAGAGCCTGTTCTCTCATGATCTAAATAGCTCTGATGGCCCAATCATACCATACAAGCTTTTTACTGAGCAGTCTACGGTTCATCCAGGATCTCAGTAACTTTGGCATAGCCCCAATGACTGGGGAGAAAGGCAGATCTGAAATAAAAGATTGTGGTGTGTGAAATACACTGAGTTAATGTATATGTGTTTTAAGGGACATCTTTGTTTTGACTCTGGGTAACAAACCAACATAGCTTGTGAGGTCTGGAAGGCCACAGGCTATTCCTACTTTCATAGTACTGCTCTGTTTGAAGCTAGTATTTCTATTTGGGGTCTAAGCCACACTGAACTTGATGAAATAAACATTCTCCAAAGGAAACTGCCTTTGAACTATTTAACTCTTTGCCCAGCAAACTAAAGCTGAAGGACCTGTAATAATTACTGTAAGATTTATTGTGTATTAAGTAACTTATTTTTCAGTTTTTAAGTTACTGTTCATCAGGACCTCTGTCTTTTCCAGCAGAACTGACCATGTTAGCAACAGCCAGTAAAATCGAAGTGAAACACAACCCTGTCTGAAAGCAGACTAGGTGGGGCTAATTCTTATACTTCCAGGCATGCAGACTGTGCCAGTGTCATGTTTGGCAGCATATGTAAGTGTACACAAATGGTATTTAATCTACTTGATAGCACAGCAGCCCAGAGATGCGAGCTCTCTCCTGGGCTGTCAGACATACTAACCATTTCTTCAACTGTTCTAAGGGATCCTACCATCTATTTCCTCCTTCTATAATACTACTGTATCTGCCCTGAACAAGCGATATTCTAGATTTCATCTCTTAAATTACTTCCACTTTGTGTAAGTAGTTAAATAACAAATGGCTAGAAGCCAGAACCTAAGTAGTTTGGCAGATGGGGCTCTACCAGCAGGTATCAATAGGAATCCCATAGTCAGGGAGCAAACAGAGGCACCATCTTTAGCATCCTGAATAAATGTTCTCATGATGACTTGTGTAAAAGGAAGGAGTGTAACCAATACCAGAAGTCTGGTGTATCTATTGCCAAAACCAAAAGTAATCTATGGTATTCAGCAAATTTTTTTTTTTTAGCCAGCGTATCTGCATTTCCACAAACTTTCATGGTCTTGGGGCTTTTGCCATGGAGAGAAGGACATTACATTATTTCTCCCATTCATTTTCTGGGGAATCAGAAGCAGAAGTCGCTCTAGTGACCATCCCCAATGTAGTGGGATGGTTACCTAAAAAAGGAGAGAATAGGTTATTACTGAGTTGTGTACACTCAATTGAACATGTGAGAACTATTAAAAAAAGGCAAGTTCTTAGCCCTAGTCACTGCCTTAAAACAGGAAGAAAGCACGTCCTCCCATTTTGAAAAAACACAAGGCAAACAGAAGAGCCAGAAGGATGAATTTTTTAAATAGCAGCTTTGTCATCAAGGGAGATGGGGGAGAAGAGATGGGGAAAGTCTGATTTTTGCATCATTCATGTTGGCAACGCTGCTGCTGCAGAGACCGTGGCAATTGCTGACACTGGTGGCACTTTGCCTGACAGACAGGTTGCGAAACCAAGGGTTTGTAGACAGTCCTGATTTCCAGTGGGTGCCCCACAATGCACACATCCTCTAAGATTTGGAGGCCACTAAGGAAAGCTCTCTTATTCCCTGTCAGGAGTCTTAGGATGTCTACAGAACCACAAGATGTACTTATCTGAGATCATCTCTGATTTGCAACCAAAAAAAGTACACCCCAAAATCTCATTGATGCAAATCACAGCTCACAGCTGAGTTTAAGTAAAAACAACAGCAGCACCAGGATTTCAACAGAGAGGGAAGCTCTTGAACAGCTCTGAAAGGGCTAATTATTTTTTTTCCCTCCCATAGGAAATGCTAGATGCTGCATTGTTTTTGTGGTCGTAGCTGCAGGAAGATTTACTATAGTTTTATTATGCCAGAAGGCCCAGAAAAGGATTAAACCTTTCTGTTTTCTTGCAAGAGAAAAGATACTGACCACTTCTGAAATTCTAGGTTCTTGTGGTGAGGTGTGCCACGGTAGCTACGCAAAACCAGTCAGTCAAAAGCTGGCCTTTAAAAACGTATTTTCAACTACTTACATATATGGAATGTGCACAAATTACTGAAAACAGCTTCTCTAAAAGCATGAGGCACGTCACTGCTTTCCTTGTTGACTTAAAACAGAAACCAAACCAGAACAAAAAAGCAAAACTGCATGACATTTGAGGGCAAAAATGACCCAAAGAAAAATCTGGTAGCACTTCTCTTGTAAAGTTGGCACTAGTCATTCAAGTACATGACAAGGAACATGGGCTGTTTGTCTCAGGGCTATATATTTATAGTCACAATGAACTGACTCCTGAGTCATGAGCTCTGTGGCCCTGTAACAAATTAAGATTTGTCTTTCTGCATGAAAAATAAGATAAAATCACAATTAATTCCAGAGTTGTAGAAGTGACTGTAAAAGTGGCAGAAGACATAATTTATAACGTGTCCTGTATCTTGGCATCTCCCCCCTTCAAAATCTCAACCTAGTAACAT